GCATACCTCGGGTAGAGAATACAACTGCGGATGCACTTGCCGCATTGGCGTCAACATCAGATCCTGAGTTGAAAAGAGTTATTCCAGTGGAATGCATTTCAGAGCGAAGCATTCAAGACAACAAAGAAACCCTTGTCGTTACAAGGTCTCGAGCAGCTGCACGTGACCGTGGCGAACCAGAGATCAAACCGCCACCCAACAAACGGAGGAAGTCAAAGGGATCAAATACATCTAACAAGGAACCCGTTGTCTTAACTGAAGATGTGATTCCAGAAACGATATTAGAAACCGAGCCGTTAATCGAGGAGGATGTTCTTGAACCAAACGAACATCCTGAGCCAGAGCCACGAGTATTTCACAAGGTTGACCAAATTCCGGCTAAAGACTGGGGGGCTGACTGGAGGGAACCAATAAAGCACTACATCATGACAGGTGAGCTCCCAAAAAATAAGTGGCAGGCCAAGAAAATGAAAATCGTTAGCGCGAAATTTTGTCTATCAAAGGATGCGTTATATAGACGAGGTGTCAGTGACCCTTACCTATTATGCATTTTTGGGCCCGAAGTCGAAATCGTCATGAGCGAAGTGCATGAAGGATTATGTGGGAGTCATTTATCAGGAAGATCTATGGCTTTTAAAGTTAAAAGAATGGGATACTATTGGCCCACTATGATCACGGATTGTGTTAAATTTGCCCAAAAATGTAAGCGCTGCCAACTCCATGCACCATTGATCCATCAACCTTCAGAGTTATTCTCTTCCATCTCCGCCCCGTACCCGTTTATGAGGTGGTCAATGGACATCATTGGACCATTGCACAAATCAACTCGAGGTGTACAATACCTTTTGGTCTTGACGGACTACTTTTCGAAATGGATTGAAGCTGAGGCATATGTTGGCATCAAGGATTCGGCGGTAAAGACTTTCATTTGGAAGAATATTATATGTCGACATGGAGTTCCGTATGAAATAGTCACCGATAACGGGCCACAATTCATTTCACAAGAGTTTGATGCCTTTTGTGCGGACTGGAGAATCAAAGTCAGTTACTCTACTCCACGATATCCGCAAGGAAACGGTCAGGCTGAAGCCGCGAACAAGACGATATTGAGCAATCTCAAGAAATGTTTGAATCATCTAAAGGGAGGATGGTACGAAGAACTCCAACTCGTCCTATGGGCCTATCGTACAACCCCTAGGCGACCTACCGGAGAAACTCCATTCTCTTTGGTTTATGGCATGGAGGCAGTAGTACCAGCTGAACTCAACGTGCCCGGACTTCGCCGAACAGAAGCACCATTAAATGAGGAAGAAAATTCAGCAATGCTTAATGATTCATTAGATACCATAAATGAAAGGCGTGATCAAGCTTTGATTCGGATTCAGAATTACCAGCAGGCAGCAGCCCGATATTACAATTCTAAAGTTAAAAGTAGGCCGTTCTTCGTGGGAGATTATGTGTTAAGGCGTGTCTTTGACAACAAAAAAGAAGAAGGTGCCGGTAAACTCGGTATTAATTGGGAAGGACCTTACATTATTACCGAAGTGGTTTGGAACGGTGTTTATAGATTGAAAGACTTAGAAGACAGGCCAGTCAAGCGACCTTGGAATGTGATCAACCTAAAGAAGTTTTATGTTTAAAGCTACATGCATTTTATATGTACATGAACTACGGTGTGGCTTGATCCCGAAATGGGTACGTAGGCAGCTCGGAAACGAGTTCAGCTATTAATAAAAATTTGTTTTATTTCTGTATTAAAGGAAAGGGTTCGGCTATGCGAACATACAAGAGATTGGAAGCAAAACATTTATTCAAACGAACAAGACAAAGTGTCGATCTTTGCACACTTCGAGTTAGGAAAACCCTCCCGGAGAGCAGAACACTTGACCTCCTTGACCAGCAAGATCAAGAACTGGCATCATACAATCCGGGAAACGAGCAAATTCGGAGATTCCGAGCTCAATCCACTCTCCGGGGTGAGAACTAAGGATGTGAAGATCCCTTGATATCGCATTGACCCTGCGCTGCATTCGATGAATCTTCTTCCGAAGTTTTTTCTTTTCCAGCGATAGCTTCCTGTGTTGAAGCTGTAATTTATAGGGACTTCATATCCCTAGCAAGCAGCAGATTCAGCTCGGAAATGGAGTGATTCGCGGCGAGATTTATGCCTTTAAACCAACCCTGCATTAAAAGACGCATCTCCGAGAATATTTGAAGAGAAAGGAAAGTTGCAAATATTTCCATAAATAAAAAAAAGGGGCCGAAGCCCATTATGAGTTCAAAGTGAGTGGAGAGGTTAGAGAACATTTATGGAAAAGGCTCAGGAACAGGCTCCTTCATTGCCGTTTTAGTTTTCGAAGTGGACGCCTTGTTCTTGGCGTCCACCTCGGAACAATCCCGAACGCGTTTCCGACTGGTACTGGCCTCCTCCTCGTCTTCTTCCTCACTATCAGATGGAACGGTATGGACCGGAGCATTCACAGGACCCGGAACTCCTCTAGCACGGAGATACATCCGAAGCATCTTCGGGATCTCAGCAACAGAATCGAAGTTCCGCCATTCCCATTGGAAGGGGTCACTTTCCAAAGCCCGTATCTTCCTCTCCACCCGAGCAATGCGAGCCTCGAGTGTTTGCCTTTTGAGGCCTAGCCGCTGCCTCTCTTCACACAAGCGACAGTGTTTGTAGGCAACCTAGCATAAAGATGAATGAATAAGATATAACAAAAAGCTTTTAATCAAAGACGACAGATATTAACCTTGTCAATAAAGTCGCAAGCCTCTTTCTTCTCCTTTTAAGGAAAGTGAAAGACGGCGTGAGGGAAAAGAACGCCGGCCGGTTCAAAGGCGTCGCCGGACAAGAAGAGTGGGCTGCCGGGATCAATGGGGGCTACTTTTTCGTTTTCCATTCTCGTAATATTTCTCAAGTAAGATTCTAAAATCGTATTTAAAGAAAGCTTAGAGGTAGGTAAGCCTTTATTTATAATGGTTTAGGGGTTGTCTTGGAACCATAAGTCCAATAATGATAGCGTGCCCGAATGGTTTAAACCATTTTTGGAAAATCGAGAAAAGGCAGTTATTGCATTAAAGACGAGCCGTTTTCCTACTTTTAAGAAATAAGAAGGGAAAGAGTGAAAGACCCCGACCCGGACTGCCTAAGTCCGGAGAGGTTCTCTCTGACCAAATCATTAAGTGATCCGATCCTTAGTCAAATTTTAGGGCCATTTTCCTTAAGACAATCCGATTTACGATATTCTGAGATTCAATACTTAGAGTCAATATGCGATAATAGAGTAAACAAAGAATCGGATACTTTATTAGATACTTAAAAGGATTCGATACAACTTATGAGTTTGCATATAAGCTATTACAAGTCATATAATCGATCCTATTCTACCCGATTCATCACCACCCATCTTCCCGGCCTTGAGTCTCTCACGCCTAAGCCAAGTCCTTCCCACGATCACCATCCTTTCCTGAAAGTCAAAGAGGCATAAGTATCCGTTTTACTTATTATATGCAAGTCCATGCAATGCTCTCTAGGCCTTTTAACCACCCGGAACGAAGAACAGATCGGAGAGTGGAAGTATGCGCATCAGTTCGGCCGATTCACGGTAGATCTTCACAGATCCGCCGATCCTCCGCCGAGCCGCATCCCCATTTCAACCGATCCGCCATTCGAACCAAGTTTATGCATGATATGAATGATTCCCCGATACTACAATATCACCCTAATCGTTCCGGACTTCTTCTAAGTCATCGGAACAATCCCTAGGCTAGATCGTACGTATCATATCTCCTTAGGTTCGGACACAAAGTCTAGAACCGTCTCACCTTCGATCGCACCGATCGTAACTCTCTCTTAAGTGTTTTCTCTCAAGATGTTCTCCGAGAGTTTCTGTATTTTTCCCTAAGTTTTTCCGTCCCCGAAATCGCCCTAAATGCCTTGTATTTATAGAGTTTCGTTTAGAAAACCGTTTCCCAACCGTTTCTCTAGAAGGCGCCCATTCGGTCATAACCGCTCATTGGTAACCGCCCCTCGTAACCGCCCAACCGTCCTTCCGTAACCGCCCTACCGTCCAACCGTCAGACAGTTACCCGAGCTGAGCTAAGCTACCCGGCAGCTGGTCGAGCTAGCTGAGCTACTCGACAGTTACCCGAGCTTAGCTGAACTACCCGGGAGTACTTCGAGCTTAGTTGAGCTATACGGGAGCTGGTTTGGCTACTTAACGTTCATTATTCTCCTTATCCGAGCTGATGGGCAGCTCCAATCTAGACTTGTCCGAGTTTCTCCTCCTTTTCTAGGACCAAGTCTCATCCGACGATCCTATTGAGGATCGCGGGCGTTACAAGTCTCCCCCCCCTTGAATGGCAAAAGTTTCTAAGGCCCAAGCCCAATAAATTCACTGAGTTCACTAAACCCGAAGTGGGGAACTCGCTTTAAGCCGAGCTCAGTTCTCGCATTCTTAAGAGAAAGGTCTGATCAGCCTAAAAATCTCGAAAGCATAACCACAAGGCCACAAAGGGTTAAAAGCGGACTTTGCAAATCCGCACATAATTTTAACCGAACCCCCTTAGGGTCAAAACCTAGAAAGGTTTAAAAGCCTCCTCAGGCAAATATCTTGTTTAAAAGAAATAATAAAGCCTCCTTAGGCAAAGACAAGTTCGAAATTAAGTTTTAAAATAAAAGGGACAATTCCCAATTTAAAGTGGACGCAGCCACTACGGAGTGATATCCACTCGGACTCCGGCTCAGCAACCGAAGTTTCATTCACCTCCTTGACTGGTGCTTGGTCAAATGGAGCTCCTGGTCCGCCCTCTACATTACAACCATCCTCCGGAGTGACCGCTGGTGCCGGAGGTACTTTGGGTGGGACGACATCCTCCGCCTCACTTGAACCTGGGAAGGACAGTTCCAGTCAACTTTTTAAAAAAAAAAAACAAAAAACATAAGGTGAGAAAAAGGTAGTAAGTGTCAGGAGCCAAGCATTACCTGCCCAGTCTAGACCCGATTCACTTATAGGAGGCGATTCAGTGAAGAATTCCTCGAAATCCTGCGGGTTGAAGGTCGAAGTGGGAAGAGCTGCCAAGCGACTCCGCTTTTCAGAAAGATTAGTCGACAGTTCGGTCCTTTCTTGCTCCTTGGAGAAATCTGTTTCATGGATTTGATCCAACAAAATCAGATTGCTCTCATGCTCCTTGATGTCTGACTCCAGATCTGACTTAGCTTTCTCGGTCTGAATAAAGCGGATGGCTCCTTGGATCAACTCCATCCCGCGTCCCTTAACCTCCTTTCTGGCCTTCGATACCGACTTCGCCAACTCAGAATCACGCAATTTGGCGATCGCCTTGTACTTCGCGTTAAACTCAATAAGTTGGTTGTTCAGGGAATCAGCGGTTGATTCGGATTCATGAAGCCTACCCTGAACACCAGAAAGCTCATCCTGGAGTTTGAAATTCTGGTCGTACTGGTCCTGCAACTCCATTTTTATCTTTGCCAGCTCGGATGTTAGATTGTCGACCTTGTCCTCCAGATCGTGCTTGGAGCCGGTAGAAGAGCTTAGTTCAGCCTCAAGAGCACAAAGTTTTTTCTTCCACGCGTCAATCTCCTTGTCCCGACCAAGGACCAACCCCTCATAATGTTCAATCATGTCATTAAGATCACCGTTAGCCTGCCATTATGCATGAAATCGAGATGGTGAGACATTTCGATGAACGGTAGCACAATCGGAAAAACAAAGCGGAACTAACCCGAGATGAATGATGAGCATGAAGCAGATAGCGTTCACGAATCGCAGGGCACCACTTTTCGAAGTCTGGCAAAATTGAACCCGATCAGGTCTTGAAGCATCGGAAGATGCTGCCCTCTTTCTCCATAGCTGCGAAGGAGGAGGAGTTGTAAAAAGTAGAATCTTAATAGAAACAAAAACGTTTAAGTATGTGTAAATCACCAAACCTGAAAGCGATTTGACTTGAGGGACAAGAGCAGGCTTTAACCTCGAGGAAGCATCTCGAGATTCAGAATCTCCCTTTTTAGGAGATGCACTCCGAGCAGTCTTTTCGCTGTCGGGCTGGGAAGAAGAAGACATATCAACAGGTCGGGGAGGACCCATTGGTTTAGTGGGAGGGGATGATCGAGGTGAACGGTCAGTCGGGGCCCTTGATTTCTCTCTTCGCGGAGAAGAGTCACTACGGGATGACTTGTCCCTCTTCCTGCGAACCAAGTTCTTAAGTGGTTCATTGCTAAAATCATCTCGGGTAGGACGAGGAGAATCACGACGAGGAGATTGCTCTCTCCGAGGAGAGCGTTCGTCACGACGTTCGCGACGAGGTGTTAACCTATAAGCAGCAACGGATCTGGCTCCCTCGGCGCTGTTATCATCAACCAGCAGGGTCCTGCTGTAGTCTTTTTTGTCAATGGCGGCCGCAAGGAACGCCTTGTTTTCATCACAAGCCTCTGCTATCGGCTTGGAAAGTTTCTTACGCTGGGCAGTAAGGGCCCGAGCTGACATTCCCTGAGTTGAGGGAGGAGGCGGAAGACGATGAAGTAGATTGGGAGGACTCATCCTGAGTTTTCGGTTGGCCTCGACAAACCGATCGAGGGTGAAAGAGTTCCAAAGGGTTTCCCCTTCAAGGATTGTTTTGAAGAACTTGACGAATTCTTCAGTCGGAAGAGTCGAAGCGATGACAGCTGCGAAGTGAAAACAACGAGTTTGGTCAGTAAAAAAATAAAACAACCAAGGAAGGAATATACGACCTAATTTCTACCAGGCTTCGCAGACCACTTCGATGGGAGTACATCGGAAAGATTTCCAATTGAAGCAGGAGTTTTCTTAATCAAGAACCAAGGATGGTGCCAGTTTTCATCTTTGTTCGGGAGGTGCGAAATAACGTTCCTGTTGGCATTTGGATACGCCGAGAAGTACCCTGTTTTCTTTGATGAACTCCTTATACTTAGGAGTTCATTCAGCTCGGAGACTCGAATAACATAGCCAGCTTCCGCCGCAATGGTTATAATCCCGAGGATGGTTCGGAGGAGATTGGGGGTTAGTTGAGGTAAAGCAATCTCAAGAGCCCCCAAGAATCGAACTAGGGCTTCGGGAAGGGGGAAGGTCAATCCGCAGCCCTTGAAGTAGATTTTGTAAACACAAAAGTAGCCGTCGCGGTGGTTCTCCGGGGATTCCGTGGGATCGGCTATCTGTGCCTCCGCTATGATTCCAGGAGGAATTTGACAAAGCCCCTTTAATCGCTCAAGGGATTGAAGAGTACAGGTGGATTTGTAATGAGGACCGGCAATATCGTTAGGACGAGTGCATTCGTCATTGCTAGAACGCCTCTCATCGTAAGACGGAGATTCAGGTCTCTCAGAATCGGAAGTCATCGGAGGAAAATTCAAGATCCGGTGAAGAGAGGTTCGGCGAAGAAAAGTAGAGAGAAGTTTTGATTAAAGCACAAAAGTAAAGAAGAAAATGATGGTGAAAAGAAGTTACCTTACACAAGCTAAATGATGAAACCGCCTCGGAAGTTGTGTGGGAAGTGGGAAGGTTTTTTCCCGTTTTAATAGCAATTAATTACTATGCGGTCATAATGATTACATATGTCACTCGGTTAAAAATGGCTAGTTCCGTTTTTGAAGGAGTGATGAGATTTTCGGCGGGAAATCAGAAAGATTCTCGAGCGCAATCTTGGGTCATTTAAGCATTTAAAGTCCTTCGAAATGGAATGGCACTTCGAAGAACTTGGGGGGCTAATTGTTGGTGTCGGATCCCGCACCAGAGGTCCAGGACCAACCAAAGATTGCCACGTAGTCGGGGTAATGGCCCATTAAGGATAAAGCCCACTAGACCCATAAGTCAAAAGGACAATCGAAGTGGTTACCACCATAAGGAGAATTCAAAGTGATTGTACCTCGATACGAGTCCGGAGACGAAGTCATGGTTAAGTCGGTTCAAGGACATTTGGGCCAAAAGGCGAGGCCCATAAAGACCAGAGTCAACTCAAATTCAAACGTTGAGCATTAAAGTCAAAGAATCAAAACGGACACATTTAAGAGAGAATAATTGTACTTAATTAGCCATTTAAATGTCATTTTTCTATGTATAAGTAGAGAGGCCAATGGCCATGTAAAGGGGCTCTCCCTCTCTCGATCAAGAAATACTATAGCAATTTTTGTAGCAATTCATTAGCCTTTTACATACTTATTTTTGTCCCTCAAGAATAATGCTATTTAATAAAAATACTTGAGTGTGTGAATCCGACATCCACATTTTGGCGCCGTCTGTGGGGATCGAACCCACGGCTATGTGGACAGAAACCAATTGCTATGTGGACAGAAACCAATTTGTAAAAACTTATGAATTGCTACGTAATTTACTACGTAAAAACTGTGGATGTGGATGTCGGATTCACACACTCAAGTATTTTTATTAAGTAGGAAAGATTACTCTTGAGGGACAAAAATGAATATGTAAAAACTTATGAATTGCTACGAAAATTGCTATAGTATTTCTTTCTTGAGAGGAAGATCCCCCCCTTACATGGCCATTGGCCTTTGTA